CAGAGGTCCTTCCTTGAGCTCCCCATACGGTCGAGTGTGTCGGCGTAGAGAACATTGAGGCCGCTCCTACAGTCCATCAGAACCTTCGTGAGGCATGCCCGTCCGATGATGGGGTTGACGATGAGTGAGAAATGGCCTAGACTGGGGATGTGTTGTGGGTAGTCCTTGTGGCCAAAGGTGATGGGGACCTTCGACAAGCAGAGGCATCACAGCGGCGCCCTGCTCGCCATGTTGACCCCCCATAGTAGGTCCCTAGGGAGTCATGGGGGCGACAGAGTTGGTCCTTCCTCGCAGACCATGGAGCAGAGCTACATCATGATAGCGGTGAGCTCTCCTCTGGCCTGCTCTCCTACGGGTGAAGGGAGCGCCCATTGGTGGCAGATTGATGATGGATCTGACAAGCTGGGACCCCAAGATCTGCTCTTTGGGGGCCCTAATGGGGGATGATGCAGGGGGCACATAAGCCACTAGCGCAGTCCCGTGGACTGGACAAAGCTCAACATGGCAATCGGCGATGTAGACCAAGCTACCAAAGCAGAGGACCTAGCCCGGAGCATAGGCACCGATTGTGATGGAGAACTCGTCGGGGAAACGGACACCACCGTCTGGGGTGGCATCTCTTGCTCCAGCAACGATGTGGGTGGCTCTTGCCACCTAGAGCCATAATCACACTTGACACTGCCCCCTCCCTAGAGCGCCAGCTGTCATGGGGTCAAAACCACGTCAAGCATGTTGTTTGAGTTGGTGTCAAAGTATGGGGTCTTCGGTGGATCGAGTGGACTCGGGAACACAAGAATCACGTAGAGAAGACGCAATGGTTTATCCTAGTTCAGGCTGATTTGCTCCCTACGTCCAGCAGCTGATGATCCTTATACTCAAGAGCACCCAAAATATAGGGGGTTACAACAGAATGTAAATGAAGAAGATTTGGTAGGGGGTTAGCTCGATGCTAATCCTAAGGATGCCTCACCGCTGATGGAGTATCCCCCTCATCGGAGAGGAAGGAGACGGTGGGATGTAGTTGAGGAGGGGCTCTCGGTGCCCCTCTCTTGGATGCCTTGCTCTCGATGCAGAGTGGAGGCAGATGGAATGGAATGGAGTGTCTAGTGATTGAATCAGGAATCCTCTCCCATCTAGGTCCAACCTTATCCCTTATATAATGAGATAGGTCGGGTACAAGGCGGTTTGGGGGTTCTAGTCTATGGTCTATGTGCGGTGGAGTCCAGGTGGGGCTTGCAGCAGTGCGCCGTGGACCGTCAAGGTGTCTTGGAGCCGAAGAAGCCTAGGCGTCATCTAGCTGCCCTGTTCTAACACTCTACATGTCAGACGGTGTCGGCCTGGACCAGCCTCCCTTGGGTGAGACCTTCTAGAGTCTTCTTAGTGGCAAAGGAGGTCAGCTCTAGGGGCTGACGTGCGGGCCCAGAAGCCCCCGAGCGCCCGGAGGCCATGGGAAGCTTTGTCTTCTTGTGTCACACCCTAGACATGACCCTATTGGAGGAGCAATTGGCAGGGGCATGCCTAGGGAGCGGCGCCAGGGAGCCCCTAGGCATCGGTAGCTAGGGGCTTGTCTTCTTGTGCCCAGGCCTTGGCTGGCACCGTTAGCCGGGCAGGAGCTAAGGGCCGAGCCTAGAGGTGCCATAGATCGGGAGCCCAGCGCTCAGGGAAGCCCTGAGCCCTAGGTGGAAGTTGTGGTCGAGTCAGGCTCGGCTAGGTGTCTTTGCCAGAGGGTGTGCGCGAGCGTGCCCGATGGGCATATCCCCCGAGCCCCTAGGCGATCCTAAAGGGGTCGATCGGGGGGTATTCTTCATTCGGGAACCATTGAACCCAAGGCTTAACATACCTATATGTTATGATCTCATCACCTTGCTTCCCTATGGTAAAATATAAATAATGATACCCTAGAATACTCTCGGGTGAAATGCTATAACGATATTCTGTGCACTTGCAGAATTATGTACTTAAGCATAAGAAATATCAACAAGCATTTCTGGCATCCTTATCGGGGATACAAAACCTAGTAACGACATTAAGAAATGTCAACAAGCATTTCTGGTGCCATTTTTGGGGATACAAACCTGGTAGCGACGTTAAGAAATGTCAATAAGCATTTCTTGCGCCATTGCCAGGGAAGCAATTGGCATAAAGATTTTGATATTTACCTTGATGTCTGCTAATCTAGTTTACCAATAGCTTTTGTGGGATTATCCTTGTCCTATTTAGTGTGAAATAAACAAGGCAATATCATCTGTTTGACCTTCTGGCATATTTCTACAAGAAAATCATCAACAGCCTAGGGTGCCTGGTCATTCATGAATCATCAACATCTTCACCCTGCCATCTCATAGGTATGCATATATATACATTCTAACCGTGTGCAGATGGAGAAAAGGTCATCATCAAGAGGAGATAAAATCATCATATGTGACGGAACAAAGGTGTTGCATCACTCACAACTCCATCTCAAGTTTTGGGTGATAGCGAAATCGATCAAGGTATGTGACAACCTACCATCTTGAATTTATGTTTCCACTTTATTCTTATCATTGCATGTTTGCTTGAATCATAAATGTTTAGTGCTTCCTTCGGGTAGCTCCTAGACTCTGAACTGTAGTCGAGCACTGTGCCTAGTCCAGGTAGATGCCAAATTTCCTTTGTTATCTATCTATTTGGGTTCTTAGTCTAGCTTCGTAGTAGACGTATGTTAAATGGGACAAAAGGTGATAGGTACCGCTATGAATTCGGCAAGGGATGGCCCGATCTTCATGACAGTAGGTTTAAGAACAAAGGATAACTTGCTATAGAAAATAGCGGGTAACTAGCTTTATACCTGACCAAGGTTGGATGCGACCAAGCGACGGGGAGAGAGACACCAAAACCTTGAGGACTTCGACTCGATCTCTGAATGATCGCAGAACCACAAACCGGGACTAATCCACACAATACGGCGCAGCCTAACTGGAAGCTGTAAAGCACGAAGTAGGATAACCCAGAGGGATCACTTCACAAGTCCAAGAAGAACAAGGAAGAACAAAGGTTTGAGTAAGGCACTCGACAGCTGGGCTGCAGTATCATGTAGTTTATCAAATCATCCAAAAGGTTCCTATTAGCTTATAGGTAGGGGATATTTATACTAGGAACAACTCTCCTAGTTAGGTGTGAAAATGAAATGGAGTTTTTGAAGATAGGCAATGTGAAAGGTCACTACGAGATGCATTCCTGAAGTGGTCTCATGTGACTGTTGGCCTCCTGAGCAATCCCACTAATCTAGCCATAACTCCTTATTGGGAACTCCAAATGATGAACTGTTTGTTGGGTGTGAAAGTAGACTGAAGAGCTTTCCAGCCATGTGCAGCATGCACCACAAAACTTCATAGATTGGTTTTGCATGGGAAGTTGGACCAACACTCTATTCTGGAAAGACTGTTGGTCAGTTTTTATCAGATCGGCCCATTTTTATCAGACTAGAGCAGATGATGAAAAAAACTTGGTCCATGTTTATCACATGGGTCCATTTTTTGTCAGACTGAAGCAGGTGATAAAAACCTTGGTCTTGGTCCTAATCATCTGTATCTTCCACCTCTTCATGTGTGCACCTAAGTAACATCAAGGTCGAACTCTTAGGTAGTATTACATCCTTAGAAATATTAAAATTGAAGTCAATTAGGAATAAATTCACCTGTTCCTCTAGGTTCTTGGCGCGGCTTTGTAAGTGGTCCTTTATTTGTATCCTTTGGACTTGAGCTAGCGTGCACGGCTGGGATGTCCTCATCATCCTCCCCCTCTTGAAGAGGAGTCGTCCTCAACTCTGACTCTTGTGGTCCAAAGAATTGTGCTAGGCCATCAACTTGTAGTGTTGTGATAACATGACAATCTTCTTCTTCCATCACAGCAAGGTGCTTGAATCTATAATCATATAAACCAAGTAGTGGCCTTGTAGGTGGAAACATAAATAATCTGAAATTAATTATATCTTTCACCTTGCATGGATGCTTACAACTATCAGTGAGTGTTTATGTCCTTGACACGGTCTCATCATCCTCTCTCCCTTTAAGAAAAGTCGTCCATGACTTTTGTTTACCTGAAAACAGCCTAGACAAAACAGTGAGTGGATGTACATGATAATTCCAATAATCTTTTATTTTATTTCATCCGTTTGCTTCTTTATAATTCATATTCACATTAATCCATTTTGTAAGTAAGAAAATTTCTTTCAACATTGGAGAACCTTCAAATAGCTTCACTAATGGGAGCACAAAAATTTCCTCCAATCCAATCATTTGATTCATGTTATCATGTTTTATCTTTGCAAGATCACATATATCAAATGATAAGAATGAAATATTTTGGAGATTCTTATTGCACAGGTCAGAGAAGTACCTATCAAACTCAATGGTTCTAGATGACGATGAAAAAAATTCGCGTGAATGAATGGAATGTGTTTGCACAAGATTACTTTCTTTTGATAGAACATCAGAAAAAGGAAACAACATTCTTTGTTCTATATAGAAAATAGTAAACAATCTTTTCATCTCAAATTCAGAAAAATATGGCTCACAAGATCTGTTGCAAAGTCTATTTATCTGCAAACCAGCAAGCTTGTCACAAGTTATGCAAATAGCACAAACATAGAATTTATTTACAGCATGATGTCCAATTAAATTGAATGTAAACTTGCAACTATAGGTAGTATTCAAAGATTTCATGGATGATATTCAAAAAACATTCTCAAGTATCTTATTGATCTCAACACATTTATCAAACATGACATAGCCCACACATGAAGGATGAGATATTTTTGCAAAGAAATCATCATGAGTATTTATTTGTACATTGTCAAGTTTATTTGCATGCAAAGTATCAGATATATGAGTACAAAGTATCATGTATATGAACCATATCAAAGCATAGAAAAGATCATGTATGATTGAACATTGGTTATCAACTTGCAAAATTTCAGCACATGTATGAACTTGTGAATCTAACAAATCAACATAAATAATTTATGTAGGGTCAATTCCATTTGAACCATGTGTTTCATCATAATTGCTCACCATTTTGTTTTGAAAACTCAGATCTGAATTATTTTCATTACCCTTTAGACTTTGTGGTAGTGCAAGTATCATGGATGATGCTTCTAAAATCTTACCATTTTCCTCGTCATGGTTCATGTTTTGGGCAGCACACAATTGGTTCGGTTTAATGGCTACCTTCTCACTTCTCTCAACAAGTATGGAGTTGTCATGAGCAACCATCTCTTCCTTGTTCTCTTTACAAACCTGCAAATTTGGAAAGACAACACTAGAAGTAGAGATGAGTGTTAGTTTCAAAAATATCCTCACATGACTTGCATTCTAACTCTCTATTTTTCTGTGGTGTATCCTGTGGTGTATCTCTCACACTCGTATTTTTTATGCTCTCAACCTCATAGTTGGTGGAATCACACAACTCACTTTTGTTTTCACTCTCTCTCAGTTTGGCAATGTGACTCTCATTCTCACATATGTTTTGATGCACAATCACTTCAACATCTTGTGAAGCAACATATGCATACATATCGCTGTCCATGGCTATCACTTGATCTTCCTCATCGAATATTGGGGGCTGGTCATAATTCACCACATCTTTTTCTTCATGAGCCTGCGTCACATAAGGAACAAGACTAGAAGAAGGTATTATCATGTTAGTAGTAAATAATTCCTCACATGATTCATCTTTTTTTGCTCAATTTTTGTGTATCTCTCTCCCATAGAATTTTGTGGCTCTCCTCCTCACATATGGTGGAATCTCTCATCTTTTCATTTTGAACTCTCACACTCAATTTTGGTTGGTGGCACTCTTTCTCGCATGGGTTTTGCTGTCCATAGGACCTTCCTCATGTCTCTTTCTAAATTTTTCTTTTGGTGGACACACAATAATCTTCATCACCAATGAGCACACGGGGGCGAAAACTACTCCCACGAGCAAGTCCCCCATGCTGTCCACTATGGCCAAATAGACCACCATGAGAATTGGTTGGGCTATGTTGTTTAGCACGACTGCGCACCATAGGCAGACGTTCATCGAGCATCTTCTCCATGGCCTCCACTAGTGAATTTTGTAGTTGGTGTAACTCAGCCCGCGAGACTGGTGGTTCTTTTTCTCCATATCGACCACCACAAAAACTCGAATTGGATCCTGACATGTTAGAACTTATGCAAGAAAAAGTGGAATAGGTAAATTTGTGGAATCACACAATCTCACCTCTTACTTACCAATGTTCTTACTCGTGCTCAAGGACTGTGAGTGTGCTAAAGTGGCAGTACCGCAGCTGTGGTTAAGCGATTGAAAGGATTACAAGACGAGAGGTCCGGTTTTAGGCTTTTGTCGAGCTATACGTGGCTGTCAAGGGAGGCTATGGTACTGTAACAAAGTGACAAACCGTTCGAACAATATGTAAATGTTGCTGTTTAGTGCACCACAAACCAGAAGTTATAGATATAAAACTTGGAGTTACACAATCCGCAACATAACCCCTTTCACTTCTTTCCTCTTCTTTTTTTTCTTTTTTTACTCTTTCTTTCACTTTCTTTTTTTTTGTCTCTGATTTTTTTCAGCAAACACAAGATAACATATGAGGGGTGCAGATAAGAAAAATTAAACAAGAGTACGGTGGAAGAACAACGATGGTGACTAGCAACAAGATGAACGACACGAATACAAAGTAACAGTACCACAAAGTGGCTATAGGATTTTTTGTGTGGCTTTTTAGTGGACCGTAGGATATGAACAAAGCACAAACATATGTGATGGATGAAATAGTAACAGATGGTAAACAAAAGGATAGATAAAGTGGGTGATAACAAAAAACCTACCATGACAACGATAGCTCTGATTACCACATGATAGGTACCGATATGAATTCGGCAAGGGATGGCCCGATCTTCACGACAGTAGGTTTAAGAACAAAGGATAACTTGCTGTAGAAAACAGCAGGTAACTAGCTTTATTCCTGACCAAGGTTGGATGCGACCAAGCGATGGAGAGAGAGACAACGAAACCTTAAGACTTCAACTCGATCTCCGAACGATCATAGAACCACAAACCGGGACTAATCCACACAATATGGCACAGGCTAACTGGAAGCCATAAAGCACGAAGTAGGGGAACCCAGAGTGATCACTTCACAAGTCCAAGAAGAACAAGAACAAAGGTTTGATTAAGGCACTTGGCAGCTGGGCTGCAATATCATGTAGTTTATCAAATCATCCAAAAGGTTCCTATTAGCTTATAGGCAGGGGATATTTATACTAGATATACTAGATACAACTCTCCTAGTTAGGTGTGAAAATGAAATGGACTTTTTGAAGATAGGCAACGTGAAAGGTCACTACAAGATAGATTCCTAAAGTGGTCTCGCATGACTGTTGGCCTCCTGAGCAGTCCCCACTAATCCAGCCATAACTCCTTATTGGGAAGTCCAAATGATGAACCGTTTGTTGGGTGTGAAAGTAGACTCGAAGAGCTTTCCAGCCATGTGCAGCATGCACCATGAAACTTCGTAGATTGGTTTTGCATGGGAAGTTGGACCAACACTCTATTCTAGAAACATTGTTGGTCTATTTTTATCAGATCGGCCCTTTTTTATCACACTAGAGCAGATGATGAAAAAAACTTGGTCCGTGTTTATCACACGGGTCCGTTTTTTATTAGACCGAAGAAAATGATGAAAACCTTGGTCTTGGTCCCGATCATCTGTATCTTCCACCTCTTCATGTGTGCACCTAAGTAACATCAAGGTCAAACTCTTAGGTAGTATTACATCCTTAGAAATATTAAAATCGAAGTCAACTAGGAATAAATTCACCTATTCCTCTAGCTTCTTGGCGCAGCCTCATGTAAGTGGCCCTTGATTTGTATGCTTTGGACTTGAGCTAGCATGCACAGCTAGGATGTCCTCATCAAAAGATTCATATGTTGGTTGTGCCATTCGGTATGATATCGGCTGATGGTTCGCGCTACGGGAAAAAGCTAAGGCCTAAACATTTATGCTTAAGCATTCATTTAGTTAGCTTTCCTTTCTAAAACCATAGCATGCTTGTTTAATTGGTTCACAATTAATATTCTCATCTCCGCTTGAATGGATCTTAATATGCTTTCATGCTTCTTTCCATTTATGCTAGTATGTTCTAGTTTGGAAGTAGTGATCAAACATCTATAGCCTTTAAATTAAGCATGGTGCCTAGTTTAAGGTTTGGATGCACTGATCATATTTCCATAGGCTTTTAAATTAAGCATGGTGCTTAGGTTAAATAGACTTCCTTAATCCAATTAGACATGGAATCTGGTTTGGTTATTGAACTAGAACTACTTGTGTAGATATTGGTTGCATGTAAAATTGTAAATATGAATGGATAAGTTATTGAGATAAATTCAAAAATGGAGATAAAGTCTTGTGATACACTTCAACAAATTTTGCACATCATCAAAAAGAGTCACCTCTCATCTGTGAAGGATACGTTGTAAATATTTATCCCTCTTTTATGTCATGTTGTGCTTTGTGGAAGTTTTTGCAAGAACTTGGTGAACAATAAACAAGAATTAAAGAACATGGGAAAAACTGTCCATGCTAACTAAATAGGAGCGCCAACTTGTCATAAGCATAGAAGAAAACCTTTGGCCTAAATGACAACAATCACCCTTGTTTCTTTGTGAGTTCCTTCGGGTATTTGTTGTCCACTAACCTTTATAGGAAAGGAAAATGAAGATCAAGATGGTGTGGCAGAAACAAGAAATTCAAGTTGAATTCAATGGGGAAGTCATGCTCAATTGACTTGACACAATAAGATCTCGCCAACAGGTAAATCGGTATGTATCCCGTATTTAATTTTTGCATTACTTTTAAATTTTAAGCTCTTGCATGTTTAGCTTTAAATATAGACCCTTTTCTTTCATGCATTAGCATAATCATGTCTTAGGTTAAAAAACAAAAATAAAAATAAATAATAAAATAAAGATTTACTTGCATTGTTTCTTTGCATAGTAAGCTTGCAACCACTCCCTGAATAAAGCCTCTCTTAAAAAACAATTAGGGAAGAACATGCTTCTCGAACAAACTCCTTTTGGTATCTTTGTGCTCTAACTGTTTTAAAATTAAAAAGAACAAGGGGAGTACCATGTCCAAGAACATAATTCTTGCATAAACTCTAAACATCTTGATACTTTTTTTGGCAATGGAAGATACTTCAAGATATACTCCAATACTTACACTTGGATTTTGATTGCACAAAAGCCCAAGTGTGAGGGAGCACATCTTGTCCTGATCCATCCATGCTAAATCATATTTTGAGTTAGAGATGTTGCCCCTTGCCTTGCCTTCTAAAAAATCATGTTTAGTCTCTTCTCTTTGTTCTCACCTAAAAAAGGAGAAATAACTTTGTAAAGTGAGAACAAAAGCATCTTGTAGAACTTGTATCCTTCGGGTATTTGTCGCTAAACCTTTTAGGTTGCACACAAAAGGATGAAGGGTCAACACAACAAGGTGACAACAACTTGAACAAAATGTCATTCAACATTGGAGAACACTCTGAGGATGCCCCAACATCTACATTAGGCTTTTAATGTCGAGTGACATAAAAGTCCTAGTGTGGGGAAGGCTGTCCGAATTCTTCTCTTAGGCCTCCGCCACTTTGGCACACTGGTTTGCACTCCCTCTAGCCACTCTTGCTTTATTTTTATATGTTTGATGTGTTGAAAGATGCTATATACTAAAATCAAACTTAAAATGTGAATCATGTCAAGCTATGAACATGACTTTATAAAGATGGGGCCAACATAAACTTTATTCTTGGTTCATATACTTGTTACTTGTGGACATATCTATATTAGGAAAACATGTCAACTAAGTTGTTGTGAAGTGAGATATGGTAAAGACTAGAGAAATCCTATCTTTCTATGTAAGCTCTTGGAGATTTCTGTTTTGATAAAACTCCAAAATAGCCTCACTTCTCCTCAATGGTGAGATTTCCTACCAAAGCCAAATATGATGCTATATGTTGAAAACCTTCCACATATGCTTCTTGTCTTTGTATTGAGCTTTGTCAAATTTTGTTGACCTGTGTTGAGAATTTTATCATGCTCTTAAGATCAAGGTCACGTACACTCCACCAAATGTATGCTATGCTTCTACACTGGAAGTAAGCAAAAACATGCCTTTCCATTTCCACCAAATAAATACTCCATGTTTGTTAGCATGATTTTTCTCCATCATTATCATAAATGAGGCATGGGCTATAGTATTAGAAAAAAAGATGTGGACACATGAAGGTCCATGAAAAAATGTGAGGACACATTTTGGTCCATAGTCGAGCAAAAAAAACTAGCCCGGCTCTCATATAAAGGATGGAGAAAGAATCATTGCTATGGAGTAATCATGATCATCCCATTTCCATACACATGCACACCTTGATCTGAGTGTATGATATTTTTCTCCATGGATCCATTGTTTGACTTAGCAATATATGCAATGCAAGTGTCCTTTACTCTTATCCTACCCAAACTCCACATAAGCCTATTAGAAGTAGGAAGGAAGGCAAAGCATCAATGCCTTGGTGAGGATACAAACAACATTAAGCGACTTGAGAATACCATTTGAGGAGAAGTATGAGCTAAGTTTTCTATTGCAAAAGTTATAAAAACTCCAAGTATGCTTCATAGGGGATAGTGATGACTTGGTGTTAAAGTTGTTCCACTTTTCAACTGCTCAAGGCGACATGGTAGACACTTCAAAATCCACAAGGTATGAGGTATGACTTGGTATATCTTTTATGTTAGCATCATATCTTTTGAAGTCTTGTTTCATATCAAGTTACACTTGAATCTTTGTTTTCCCGCTTTGCTCGGGACGAGCAAAGGTTTCGTGTGGGGGAGCTTGTTGACGGTCACTAAGTGCCTATATTGACCATCAACATTGCACCAAAAATGGGAATAAACAACAA